TTTTTTTAAAGGCCTATTGCTAAATGAAAACCTAAAAGTAAAAAATATATTAAAAAAGAAAGAAAATGTGCCTCAGACAAATAAGTAATTGGAATATTTTAATGACCTTTTAACATACTAGGTATTCAGCGTTTATTTAACACCAAATGCAACAAAGGGCAATTCTTAAAGGTTAGTTGCAAAATGAAATCTGAATCCCTATCAGTGAACTTTTTGGCTGTGCTTTTTAAAAATCCATTGATCTATATTATATTTTGAATGGATCTCCTACCTATGTATGATTTTATAACATCATGCATTGGTCATTTGGAAAAACCTTAGTTTAATGAGTTATACAGATCTTCCGAATGTTGAAACATTTTCTTATTTTATATACATAAAATAAGATTTTATATGATATATATGATTTAAATCACATACCTTAATATCACCACTAATCTCTTCACTCATTTCCAAGGACACACCTGCCAAATATCCATATCTGCGTAACTATGGTTTATCAGTCATTCTTTTATGTAAAAATAAAAATAGCGTTCCATTTAAAAAGCAGCTAGTTTAGCCCTGGCTTGAGTGGCTCAGTTGGTTGGAGCATGGTTCTATAAACCAAAACCAATCCCAGCTGGGGCACCTATGGGAGGCAACCAATTGATGTTTCTCTCACATCGGGGGTGGGGTGGGGGGGGTGGGGTGGGGTGTGTGTGTGTGTGTGTGTGTGTGTGTGTGTCTCCTGGTTTATCTTACTCCATTAAGTACTACTTCTGATCATCATTCCTCTAGATGACTGAACTACAATGACTGCCATCTACTGATATCAAATACTCTAGAATTCACCAGTAGTATCCTTAAATATATATCCTTAATGCAGTTTTACATTTATGAACATATTTTGACTTGAAAAAGAAATGAATTGCATATACATTCATCCACATTAAGATACAGAAGACATACATACCTTTCTACAAAAACCAGTATTCAATAACAATCTTTTTATTCAAATCATAAATAAGATTTACATTTTAAACATGCAAATTAAGGTTTGATGAATTTTAAGTAAATTACTCCAGTATACCAATGATTGTAAAATAAAGCCCTGTACTGTATTAAAACAAATGAAGCAGTAGTATAAGTATACTAAAATATCCAAAGCCTTTAAAATAAAAAGGTACTTTTTTTATATACAGATTCCCATGCCCCCTTTACTCTATTCCCAATTCTGAATCTATGTGTGTTGGGATGGGGCATGGGAAGGAAAAAAATAATATTTTGTTCTATTTTTTTTTAAATAGCTCTTCCAGAGACAGAGATGCAACTGTACTTAAACTGGCACTTCAGGAAATATAGATGGAGAACTGAAGCTACAAGCATAAGTGATCTCTAAAGAACTACCAACTAGTTGGGCTCGTTGAGCAACTTTCTCACAGTATTTAAGTTAAACCCTGACAGCAAAAGCTAAATCCATGTGACCCTGACTGGTGTGGCTCAGTGGGTTAGGCATTGTCCAGAAAACCAAGAGTTGGTTCACCAGTTCGATTCCCAGTCAGAGCACATGCCTGAGTTTCATGCCAAGTCCCCAGTTGGAGGCATGCTAGAGCCAACCAATGGTATTTCTCACATCGATGTTTCTCTCCCTCTCTTTCCCCTCATTTCCCCCCTCTCTAAAGTTGAATAAATAAAATACTTTTTCAAAAAAAGCTAGATCAATGTAACTTGCATCTCACGAACCAATGAAGTGGCCAGTTAATTGGTACCTAGAATATTTTATTGTTTCCAAAGAAACTATCCCCTATGAAAACCAAGTTCCTTTGGGAATTTACACGTTAATTTTGGCACCTAAATAAATTGCCAAAGTAAGCTCCTCTAAAAGAAGCCCAAGTAAGCATTTTATTTTAGAGAGTACTTTAAGAGATCAATGTTCTAGTTAGGATAGTGATGATACTAGTATACCAATAGCTTCCTAAAACTTGCCATCAGACAGTTCAAACAAATTGAAAAATGAAAAGGAGAAAATGAGGGAGAGAAGGAGAGAAGAAGGGACAGACCTGGAAGCAAAACATATATGACAATATCTTCCAGGGACTCATTAAGTTAGATGTGAGATGATTATATTGTGTATATGTATATCACTGTATTAAAAACTGTAAAGCTCCTGGCTGGCGTAGCTCTGTAGATTGAGCGTGGGCTGCGAACCAAAGTGTCACAGGTTCAATTCCCAGTAAGGGCACATGCCTGGGTTGCAGGCCACGGCCCCCAGCAACCGCACATTGATGTTTCTCTCTCTCTCTTTCTCCCTCCCTTCCCTCTCTAAAAATAAATAAATAAAAATCTTACCAAAAAAACTGTAAAGCCGACACAAGTGAAATTTTAAAAAGTTAGAGGACCCTAATAGCTCAACCACTTTGGAACTCTGATGTGGCTATACCCCAAGCCAAGTGAATCACTATTTCTGGGGGTGGGATCCAGCCATTAGAGTTTCATAAAGCTCCCCAACGAATTTCAAAGTGCATCCAAGGTTGAGAACCACTGCCCTAAACCTATGAATAAAAACATAAATAACTATTAAAAAGATGAACCCAACACAATTATAAATCCTCCAGATTGAAAACAATTTTCATTTAAAATGTAAATACTAAGCCCTGGCTGGTGTGGCTCGGTGGATTGAGCACCAGCCTGCAAACCAAAGGGTCGCTAGTTCAATTCCCAGTCAGGGCACATGCCAGACTTGTGGGCCAGGTCCCCAGTGGGAGGCGCATGAGAAGCAGCCACACATTGATGTGTCTCTCCCTCTTTCTCCCTCCCTTCCTGTCTCTAAAAATACACAAATAAAATCATTTTAAAAATAAAATAAAATGTAATCACTGAAGTATAGTTCTTGATCCTAAGGCATTTACAATTATCACCAACTTGAAATTAAGTCCCTGGCCAGATAGTAATTGGTTAGAGCATTATCCTAATACACCAAGGATGCAAGTTCGATCTCTGGTCAGAGTATATACACAAAACACTGCATAAATAGGTGGAACTGCAAACTGATGTCTCTGTCTCTATCTTTCTCTCTCAAATCAATATATAAAAAAATTTTAAGATGCAGTAATAGAAACTAGCTATAATCGGCCTCTGGTAGCTTTCTATCTTACCTATGATATAATTTGCAGTAGCAAATAATCAAGACTTAAATTATAAGATCCTGACCACCTATTATCCTGGTTTTACATAGGTAAGCACTACCCTCATTTTTAACCACTCTCATGATTAAAATAAATTTTCCTGGATGCCAATCACACCACGTAACAGTGTGAAAGTGACACAACCCAAAATACCTTGTTCCTGAGAAACAGAAATTCAGCCATATTTCCCATCACCAGAATTACACATTTTAGAATTTTAAAAAATCTAAAAATTCCAAATCTGACCCATTATCAAGCATATGTTTTGGCATATTATAATGCAAATAGTATACACTGAAAGCCATTCAAATGACAATCTAGACATACTTGTTAACTGTTTGAATTTCTTTTTAAATTGAATCTTCATTAACTGTTGAGCAAAAAGACCAGAATTTGATAATTTAACAAAAATTAAATTGTGTATGCTAACCTAACTCCTTTAACTTTCATTTAATGTAGAAAATAATGAAACTACTGAAACTGACTAATTTTATACATGATTAAACGTGAGAGTCACCTTTAATCATCACTTAAGCAAAAAAACGCTGCCTCACTACACAATCTTTTAGGGGGAAGAAAGAGAAGGATATCCAAACAATGAGCCCTCAAATGATTAATATTTTTAAAAAATCACTCTAAAATCACTGAATGAAAATGAAAAAAGTAATGAGCTGAAGAGAACGAAATAAAATTGAAATGTTTCAACATAAGAAAAATAATGCATATTCTCACCAAAAGAGGCAAAATTTTAGGCAACACTAAATATACATTTTAAATATAATGAACAAAGCTGATCTGTAAGGTTAACTGCCCTAGAAGAAGCCTCAGCAATTTAGAGCTCAATTAGAATAGTGCCTAATGATGTTACTATAACACCAACTCACTCAGGAAAAAACAGCTTTCAAGCCAGAGAGCTGGAGTGTGACTGGGCAACATAAATTAGTTTTATACTTGTTCTTTAATTGGGGGTTTGGAATCTGAAGGGATATGCCAGAGAGAGAGAGAGAAGGGGGTGGGGGGGGGGATCGTGCACGTGAGCATGAGAATTCACACACAAATGAAAAAAATAGCTCAACTAAAATGTAGTTTAAGAAAGTGAAGCATAGGTTTTTACAAAGATTTGCTATTTCCTAGTATAAGCAGAATTGCTTCAAGCTGCAAAGCCATCAAAAAAGGCCAATGATCCACATTAAACTTATCATGAAAAATTTCAAAGGTACTTTCGCAGCACAAATTTTCATTAAACCTGAAACTGATTTGAAGGTTTATCGTCGTCGTCGTCGTCGTCCCCCCCCCCCCCGCCCCCCCGCCCTCACACACACACCCCAAGCCCAAGATTTACAATGAAGGCACTTAGCTAAACAGAAGTTTCTACTTGGGCACTCCCACTTCAAAAATAAAACAAGATGCAATACCTCTTTAAAGCAACCTTCCCAAAAACCTGGAAAGCAAAGAAAAGGCCACTTCTATTAACAGACTCACAAAATGGCATATCAATTTTGTCTAGAAAGCTTTTAGTTTTAACTCCAACTTAAACCTACATAATTCATCACCACTTTTAGACCTAAAAATACTCCAAATCTTAAAGGTTTGGCCTGAATGAATTACATCTGTTCTGTAGTAAACCCAAATAACAAAAAACAAAAATCATGACGTTATCAAAGGGACATTATGGTATCATAAGAAACCATACTTTTAAATGTTAATTATAGCAATCATTTACAACTTGACGTGTCATGTACTAACTTTCCAAAAGAGTAAATCCTTGGCAGAAAAGGTACATGCTAGAACTTTGTATGCTATGTTTCAACTGAAATATATTTAGTTTTTTGCAACATGGCAAAGGCAATTTATAAAATCCACAATAAAAATAGTTCAAATGCAATGTTCCAAATAATATTACTTTATGAACGTATGTATTTTCTATTAAGAAAAGTACTCAACCTACTTTTTAAACACCCGGACAAACTGCTACTGAGACTAAAAGGATGCTAATTCTGTCAAAAGACAAAGGTTGTTAAACAAAAATTAACCAAGACTACAAGCCTTCACAAAGGCAATTCGGAGTAATTAAGTTGATTCCACATTATCTCATATTTATTATTCCTAAATGTCGCCAGCAGTTTCACCTGAAACTATGGTGCAAAAACGGAAGGAATTAAGAAACTAAATTGAAAATAAATAAATAACAAATTATTCGCTTAAAAAATTTACTGGGTTTTCAAGGGAAAAATAACTACCAACCTTCAACAGCGTTTTTAAAACCCACAAAGAAACGTTCATGTTAACTAAACACACCCATTTCTTTGAAAATCTAGCTTGGGGAAGGGGTGGGGCCACAGCCCTCCATCCTCCACCAATTTCACACCCAGTATTTGGAGTCCTGAGCAATAAGGTACACTATGTCTTTTATTTTTTATTAGGGACTGGGGGAGGTATGGTCAGGTGCTAAGATCGTTTCCTGCATGCCACCATCAACCACAGTATTCAAATGCAAGTAAACAAATCAAAGCCAGAACATAAACTAGAATGACACAACCAAGAAAAGAAAATAAGGGACAAAGAGTAAACAAAAATTTGCTTGAGAAAAGAAATGAACACAAACCACTTACAACTTGCGTTTAGCCACCTAAGGCAGCCTCTGCAGCCGACCCAGGGAGTCGGCCCCAGCGGACAGTGAAACTACTCAAGAACAACAAAGAGGAGCGGCGGCCGCGGCGGGAGTCCCTCTTCGAGTTTAACTCCATTCTGAAACAAACTGTGACGGGAGCTCGGGACCGGAGGACCAACCTCCGAGCCGAGGGACGCAAAGCACAGCGGCCCGACAAGGGACCACGCTGGCTCTCCGCGCGGACCGCTGGCCTCCCGTGCGCTCCCCGCCGCCGCCGCCGCGGGGAGCCCGCCCCGGGGCGGGGAAGCCGCGGGAGGGGTTCGCGGGCCCGGCCAAGGGAAGGGGAGGGGACGTGGCTCGTTACCTGGGCGCGGGCGTTGGCGAGGGGAGTTCGCTCTCCCGCCGGGGTTACTCCGCGAGGGCACCCGGCCTGTCGCTCCCCCGGCGGCCCGGAGCGCTCCTCGGCCCCCGCCCCAAGGCGTCCGGGCCAGGCCGCCCTTCCTCGGCGCCGCGCCGCTGCCCGCGCGGGCCGGGCCGCCTCGAGCTCCCGGACCGCCCCACCGCGGGGGCGCCTCTCTCGCGGGGCGCCCGGCTCCCCTCACCCGCTCCAGTCCCCTGGGCGGCCGCGGAGCCGAGCGGAAGACAGGAAGGGGCTCCGGAGGAGAGCAGGAGGGTGCGAACGCGGGCTCCGCCACCCGAGCCGCTCCGTTACCGCAGCGGCGACGACGACCAGGGCCGAGGTGTTGCTGCCAACTTGTCGAGAGGACACTGAGCATGCGCGCTCGGAGACCACATCCGGGTAATTTCAGGGTTTGGCCCTGTTTCCCCCGCAGTTTTCCTTTCTCCCGGCTGCCCCCGCCTCCTACCCCTGAGTGACGGGAGGGTCGCTGTGCGCAGGCGCCAGCGGAGAAGCAGCGGTAGGTGCGCCGCCCTGAGTCCCGGCTTGGGGTTCCGCAAGGCTCCACAAAGCCGCTTGGAGGATATGGTCTCAAGAGAAATGGGCATCCCTTTGCAAAAAAAAAATGTACGCAAGCAGCGCGGGAGACCTCGGCATAAAACGGACTGCCAGTAAGAGTTTATAAATAGCGATAAGCCGGGCCTTGTTTTTGAGGACCTCTGTAGGCACAAAAATTAAATTCTAACAGCTAGCGGTTTACTTTGAGAAGAAACTGGCCATGACTGTTCCTTCCTTCCTTTCTGCCAACCCTGGATCACTAGATTCAAAGGTTTTTGAATTCGGGAGACTCCCCCTTGGGTTAAAGAGATGCACAGGATAGTCAAGGAATCACATTTGAGAGACTGGCTAAGTATTTATAAAAGTGGTTCTTGTTGGAAGAGATTTAGGCAGAGTTGGAAGGGACATTTGAGGATCTACCACACAGCTGTTAACTAGGTACCTGTTGGGTAGGGAAAGGTGTAAACTCTGCTGTTGACTTTATACTTCTATTTGAAATTTTTACAAGAAGCATGTACTTCTTTTATATTTAAAAAGTTTCAGAAAATACATACTAAATATATATATAATTTCCACCAACCAGAAAATACGCTGTTCTAAAGTCATTTCTCTTCCATCTGGAGAATATAACTACTGTTACCAGGTTTCTGACCTTTCAGGGGGCCAAAGCAGCCCTGCCCAGGTTCTTTCTTGCTGCTAAGTTTTTTGGAGCCAAAACTTCTATTTCCTTTTCACTACTCATTAACGGTCTCTAAAGCTTTTAAGGAGAGTCTCAACAGGTCTTCTTACTTGGCATTTAGAACCTTCCATCTTCTTTCCTGTCTTCTTAGAAGTTGTCAAAAGCAAATTAGGGAAATCTTATGCTTTCTCTACAATAATTAGTAATCCAAATTATGTGTATAATCTTTTTGTGTTCAGTCTTCATGTGTGTGGTCTTTACTTGATATGTGTTTGTGTATTACATGTGGTGCGTTTCCTGCCTCCAGATGGCATAATTAGTGTGTAATATTTATGGACCTGAAGATATTAAGCACTTATATAAAATAAGCAGGATCCTATGTTATAGGCAAAATTTTTTAATATTAAAACCAGTTTTAACTTTGAGTAATGTCTTTTAAGGTTATTACCAAAAATGTATTGTTTTTACAAAAATTTATATTATAATCTTTTGGTTAAGTATATTTAACAACCTTCCCAAAGTTTAAGTTTTAAAAACTGAGAAATGACTTTGAGTTATTCCAATGGGCCCCTGGAATACCTCAAGATTTGTTCTCTCTCCTTAAAAAAGAGAAATTTTCTAACTAATTAGGCCTATTTAATATGCTTGAAATTAGATGGAGAACTTTTCTAAACAAAATAATAACTATTTTATTTGTATACACATATTTTTTTTAAATATTTTATTTATTTATTTTTTAGAGAGGGAAGGGGGAGAGAGAGAGAGAGAGAGAGAGAGAGAGAGAGACATCAATGTGTGGTTGCTGGGGGTTATGACTTGCAACCCAGGAATGTACCCTGGCTGGGAATCGAACCTGGGACACTTTGGTTCCCAGCCCGCGCTCAATCCACTGAGCTACACCAGCCAGGGCTTGTATACACATATTTTTATCAAAATAGTTTTTCTAGAAATTTCAATCTGCCCCAGGAAGGAACTTGCAAAGATTCAGAGTCAAGTTCAAACAGGCAGCTCTCAGGGGTAACAGGTGTCCTGTCAATGACACTGGAGAAGTCAAGATTGATAGATCCCTCTGAGGACTTCAAGCAGTGTTACTCTGGGTATTTTTAACCCACACATTGGGAATTTATGAATTGTTTCCAATGCTCAATGCACACTTCCAATAAGTCCTATACAACATTTTAAAACCTTGCATACTATTTGGTCTTTATATATACTAAGATTGTGTGTTAAATCTAAAAATATGGGCTTTATATTTTTCTTTTATGTTATTTCATAATAATTATCAAGATATTGTTATCTTGAAATATTATATCTTACAAAAAAGCAAACTTGTCAATTGCATTTTAATCAAATCTACAACCATGTTATTTTAAATTTGGTCATTTATAAACAGTCATTTTACTCTAATGCATTTGGAAGTACATCTTTGGATAGGTTCATGAAAAGGACTCTGACTTGGTCTAAATTACAGGTATCTAAGCAGGTCATATCTTTAAAGTAAAGATTTATAAAATCCTAAGAAATAACTGGATTCATGAAAATACTGGCAAATAATCAAGAAAAACAAAATTGGTTGAATGGGACTAAATGAACTAAAGATAATTGTTATTCTTATGACTTTGTTCAAAATATACTAATTTTAAATCTTTTTGTTTTTCAGATATAAAGAAACTTGTTTTTTTCCCCTAGGACCATTTGCAAATTTTATGCTCATAAGCAATATTGAAACATTTATATTTTTTTCTTCCTACCAAACTCCTTCAGAATTTGGCAACTTTTAATGAGTGAGTATTATTTTCATGACAACATATTTATTTGCACAAACCCAATATGAATCTGTACTCTTTATAATAGCACCAGTTTCCAAATGTGGTTTTATTAACCAAGTCTTTGTCTGCATGTCATGATCAAAAGCATCATGCCTGGACTCTGGATATCACCAGAAAGCTTTAAGGAATTAAGATTGAATTTTGAAGCCAATAAGAGCCCCTTAGAGAAATGGCCTTATACCTTGCTTTGTCACGTAGTTCATGGCAGTCTTTGCATGTAAGGAATGAAGGCTACATTCCTGAAAGATGGCAAGAAAAGAATCTAAAGACATTTTGGAGACCTCAAGAACTTGAGGAATCCACCCAAACCTATAGGTATTGCAGGCAAAGCCAAATGGCAACTGTGTAGCTTGACTTGTGTGCCCTGAAGGGCTGACTAAAGCTCAATATGAAGGTTCTTTGTGAAAATTCCAGCAAAGCAGATTTGAAAGAGCCTATATGAGCAATTAATATTCTTGTTGTGTTCATGCAAATAATCTGGCCAAATTGAAACTGGACTTAATGTAGTCTCTTTGATAAAATGAAGGTGATTTTAGGGAGAGAAACTGTGTTCCAATGGAAATTACAATGTTCAGTTGTCACCCACAAACTAAATCCTAATTTTTCTAGTTTTCTTCCAAGCTAATGTTTCATTTTTTTTCTTTCATCCTTTGACTTGGAATTATTGAGAACTACTCATGCAATGTCAGCCATACAGAATTTACCTACTATTCTGCCTCTCCCTTTCTGGGATCTTAAGGCCAATATCTGGTCCTGGTCTTCCTGGCTAACTCCCTTCCTAGGACAATCTATAGCTGACTTTTTCTTTATTTTTATTTTTAGGCCACATCTCCTCAAATATCTCATATTCTTCATTCAAAGGAGCATCCACGCTCTGGGAGATTCCCTCCACAAACTGTATCCAGCTACAGTCTTGCTTTCTGGGCTGTCCTATTTCACCTTTTTCCCCTTAATGACCCATACTCTGACCCACAGGCAGGAACAGCTCTACATCCCTAGCCTGCCTGAAGTAGTTACAGAAGAAGAGATCTTCATCCCTACTCCCCAAAACCAAAACTGGCCCAAGTCATTAAGAATAAATCCATTTTAAAACCAAAGTAGGGAATGAAAGGATAAATCCAGACCCATTTGCTATTGTGGCACCATTTGCAGAGCAGGCCTATGACCTTGTTAAATATGACTTCCATTTTACTCTTCTGAGCTTATGTCCCCAGGACTAGAAATTACTGGAAAGCAAGAACAGAACGTAGCTAACTGTCCCACCATAGGCACAGGCAAGAGATAACATTGGAGCAAACTGCATCTTATACAAAACCACCCAAAACCTCCTGTGTTGCAATGCCCCCAGTAGCCCAAGGGCCACACATCAGCAACCCCTCCCCACTCTTCTATAATCCAGTTATAATCCAATAAAAGCTCAAAGCCCCCATCCCCTCAGTGCTGGTGTATCTCTCCACATCATACCCCTCTCCTCTCTTGGAGAGTGAATGAAAACTTTACTCCCTAAAGAAAAAAAAAAGAGTAACTTTTTAAAATTATATTTCATTGTTTATACTATTACAGGTGTCCCAGTTTTTCTCCCTTTGCCCCCCTCCAGTCAGGGGCCCCCACTCCCTCAGGCTACTCTGTTCCCTATTCTGTACTTTATATTCCCATGACTATTCTGTCACTACCAATTTTTACATCTTAACCCCTTCACCTTTTTGGCCCATCCTCCCTGTGCCCCCATCTAACAACCATCAAAATGTTCTCTGTATCTATGATTCTGTTTCTGTTCTGCTTGAATGTTTATTTTGTTTTTTAGATTCAACTGTTAATAGCTTGTTAAAGTTACTTCTTATGCCTTATGGCCCAGAAACTCTCAAGTCCCCCCCTTTTTCACACAGTGCCTCACCCCTCGCCTCATGCTGTCCTTGCCATCATAGCCTGGGCTCGTCCCTCTTCTACCAGGAATCCTCTAAAACTTTCATCTTCACTGGTGTTCCCTTACCCCTGGGGTTCAGGAAGCCTTTCCAAGACTAGTTTTAAGGGAATCCATTTCTAGATCTCCCATTGCTATCTGTACTATTTTCTAAAATATCTCAGCTTAAGAAAGCACCTGAAGACACAGCATCCCCTTTCAATACTGACCTTCTCCCACCTTAGAAAAAAGTCAAAATTCTCACCCATTATTAAGGTGCATGGACCCAACATGTAAAGACCTCAAGGGAAATTCAAAGGGACAATTCAGAAGCTGGTGTCTGTGCCAAGAAAGTAAACTACCTGAATTAAATGGTTATAAATTCTTTTGCAAGTCAGGTGGTTTCCAGTTCTTTGCTATTAACAAATTTGAAGGAAGATCTAAGTAGGTGATTTGATAATAAAACAACATGATTCTTACAAACCTCAGTTGGGGTTAAAAATATTGAATAACATTGCTACAATGAAATTTCGTCATTTCCATCTATATTAGTTAATCTATTACTACGTATCAGTATTACCACAGTAGCTTAAAACAACATCGACTGGCTCACAGTTTCTGTGGGTCAGGAGTCCACCCATGGCTTAGCCGGGTCCCCTGCAAGGTCACAGGGGATGCCTGACTGGGGAAGGATCTGCTTCCAAGCTTCTGTGGTTGTTAGCAGCATCCAGGTCCCTGCAGGCTGCAGGAGCCAAGGGCCTTAGTCGCGAGATGACTGTTGGCTCCTTCAGTTCTGTGACATGTGACCCTCTCCGTAGGGAAGCTCACAATACAGCAGCTGGCTTCTTCAAAGCCACAGATGGGGAGAGTCTCAGTATAAGACATTGGTTACAGCCTTATGTGACATAATCACCTACACATAATCACATACATCCTGTCACCTTTGTGTACTCTGCTGGCCAGAAGCAAATCGTAAGTCCCACCCTTACTCAAGGAAAACTACACGAGGGCATGAACAGGAGGTGGGGATCAAAGAGGGCCACATTAGAGTCTATCCACCACAGCTATTTGTTTATGCAAATGACAGTCCCTGTGAGCTTCACCTCAGAATTTTGCCTCAGGTTCCCTTCACCTTCTTGCTAAAGGAAACCCGACTTACACCAGGGACACTGCTTCCCCTTCTTCCTCTCAAGTAGTGGCAACTTGTATTTTTAACCACAGCCCCTTAGACCGTGCCTAGGTGTGTGGGTGTCCTCCGTGCTCCTCAACATTGCTTCCTGATCATCCCCCTCTCTCCTCCCTCCTAACCCAAAGCTTTAAATCTCGTTACCCCATGCTCCTCATCTTGCTGTCATTCCCCTTCATTTTTTCACCGTTGGCTCCTATCAGTCACTCCAATACCACTTCTGTCCCAATCCTAGGTGGTTACAGTGTGTACTTAGATGATTTTCTCATTACTCCAACCTCTCAGTTCCTTGACTTCTTCTCCAAGGATCTTGTCCTACCCTAACTCAGCCACTTCTTCATATTCACAGTTTCAAATATGTCGTACTCTGAACACCACTCATAGTTCCATATTTCCCTGTAGCCCTCTAATTCCAAAAGTTCTTCAACCCACGTACCTACTTCCTCCCATCCTTACAATAGCCAATCATTGCAATCACTCCCTTGCACACACTCTCAAACCCTTTACTCTCTCTCCCCTTTGTCATGCTTGCTGGGCAAAACCACAGTCCTGGTTCTGGCCAGCTCTCCACCCACTCCACACCAGCACCCATGCACCTGAATGTGGCTGGAGACAAACACACCACTCTGACTGTTTTCACTTTCATTTCATTACTGAGAACCTCCGGTGGGCCCTTAGTGCTACCCAGGAATCCTGCTCCCCTCCTCCATCCTGGATTTCATACCTTTTCCATCCTCTAACCTACACCTCTTTGCATCTTCATTCTCAGTTAATAACCTTGCTTCCTATCTCACTGAGAAAATCGAAGCCATGAGATGAAAACTTTCACAGAATCCCGCTACCTCATCTACCCATAGCCACAGACCAGCATGTATAACCTCTTCTTCACCTTTCCCTCCTGTACAGTGTGAATTTTCCAGGCTCCCAGAGCCAGTCCCTCTGCTAAGGCAGTCGCTCCGCTGAGGCAGTAGATCCCAATCTTGCCTTGCCTGATCGAGATCATCACCCTCACTCCAGCAGTTATACCCCCTTTTCTGTGTTATCAAAGTCTTGCTCTCTACTGGGTCACTCCCATGAGCTTACAAGTAGTTGTTATTTCTCCAACCTTAAAAAATCCTCTCTTTGATCCACTTCCACTGTCAGCTACTGCCCCATTTCTCTGTTTCCTTTGCTACAAAACTTCTAAAAGAGTTTTCCATACTTCTGTTTCTACTTCTCCCATTCTGTGGCAGCAGAATATGTACCACATGATACATTTATATAAAGCTTAAAAACATGCCAAATAAAATACAGTAAGACCGCATACACATATAATCAAATCATAACAACACACAAGGTTACAAGTGGTGGATTTTAGGTTTTCGGCAGAGAGGCTCTCCCGCCCCCTGGAAAACCCATTCCATTTATGCTTTCCTTAGCACTCCAAGGAAACTACTGTTGTCAAGGTCAGCATGAACTTCACATTGCCTAAATCCAATGATTTAACCTCAACTCTTCTTAATCGACCTGTGTGTAAGAGCTGACACAACTACTCCCTTGATTCACCTTTTTTTTTATTTTAACCAGGCTCTTGGTTTTTCTCCATCATCACTGGTCCCTCCCTTCCTGTCTCATTTCTCCCTTGTTGATTCTATCTCTTTGTCCATTGTTTAACCTTGTAATGGCCCAGGGCTCATTTCTGGGATTTCTTCTCTTTTCTGTCTATACTGATTTACTTGTGATCTCATCAAGTCTCCTGATTTTCAGCAACATCCAAGATACGTGATATCATAATATATGATGACAACTCCTAATTTATATCTTCAGCTCACACCTCTCATCCGCACTCTAGATTCTGACACTCAGCAAGTCTACTGGACACCTCAAACTTAACACACCACAAACTGAACAATATCCCTCCTCAAACATGTTCAATCCACCGGCTGTCCTACATCAGTTGGTAACAAGTCCATTCCTCAAGTTGCTCAGACCCAAACCCCTGGAGTCCTGCTGGACTTCCTCTTCCTTCTTCATCTCACACCTAGGCCAGAGTTAGAGTATCCCTCACCTGCTACTACGCCTGGTCTGAGCCACCATCATTGTATGCTGGGATGAGTCTTCTAAAAGCTCTTCTGGCTCTCAGACTTGCTCCTTGGAGTCTATTTTCAGCCAAACAGACTGACCCTCCTAAAATACGTCAGATTGTCCTGGTTAGTCAACCAGAACAAGTGGAACAGGGAAACTGAGACAAGTTAAATGGTGGAGCAGTTTACAGCCATCTAGTAAATCGCAAAATCCTATCTTCCCTAACCAAGGACACCTAAGAGTAAATGGTTCACACTTATCCTTCCCACCAGAGGATACATAGTTTAAATCACCCTACTCAGGAACATAACAAATCCAATGTGTAGTGTGATTTGTGCCAACCACACCCAAGGATGGATGAAGTCAGGGGAATAAACCTCATTTGGTACATCAGCATAAAGCTGATGGCTACTGTACTGAGATCCTCCCCTAAAACCTCCCCTAAAATTCCTTCCTTTAGCATACAGATGAGAGCCCTCCAGCTGGTGTGGCTTAATGGATTGAGTGCAGGCCTGTGAACCAAAGGGTCACCAGTTCGATTCCCAGTCAGGGCACATGCATGGGTTGTGAACCAGGTCCCTGGTAGGAGGGCGTGTGAGAGGCAACCACATATTGACGTTTCTCTTTCTTTCTCCCTCCCTCCCCTGCTCTCTAAAAATAAATAAGTAAAATCTTTAAGAAAAAGAAAACAGATAAGAACCCTTAAGACAAAGACCCAGCAAGGGCTCCTCTCCCTGGAGTACACCCATACCTTTCTTCTCTCTCAGGTGTGCCTCTTTTTCCCTCCTAAATGCTAAGGTCCCCACGAGACTTGCAACCGGGGAGCAGCGGGCAGTGACAGCTCTTCCCACCCTAACTCCCTGAACCTGTCTCCAGGCCTCCTTTTCTCTGACTTCTCAGTGAGCTAACAGCTGCCCGCCCTGGCTCACTCTGTCACTGTGACTTGAACTTCTCAGTGAATTCAGGCAGCCCAGAGCGGCTCACTTCTTTCCTATAACACTCGTAGGGAGCCCAAGCAGAGCCCCGCCTGGGCGCTCTCCTGTTGCTTCTTCTACCTTAGGCCCTCCCGTGTTCCACTGTCCCCAGCTCTAAAAATCACCTGGACTCGCGTTGTAAACTCTTTCCTACATGAAGTCAGGAACCCACACATTACCTGCCAGCCCTAGGCAGGCCCACTTGGGGCCCGATCCCTTTCCTGTGACAAGATCATGTCCCTCCTCAAACCCTGCCATGGCTGCTCACTTCACTCAGAGTAAAAGCCTACGTCCTTCACGACAGTCTATAGGGTTCTACAAGGTCTGCATCGCCGCCCCGCCCTGATCATT